ATTTATCGATTCGAATCAATCTAAACCGAATATTAGAGCATTATTATCCATAAGATTTGGTGGGTATCATTAGATATAAAATTATTAAAATTTAAGTAAAAGGAAAAAGAGAGTGTTTTTGGTTGAAATAATGGAGTGTATTGAAATATAAAATTAATAAAATTTGAGTAAAAAAAGGAGATGAATTGATATTTTTGGAGAGAGAGAGTGTCTTTGTATCAATGGGTTGATACTTTTGGAGAGAATTTAAATTTTAGTTGGGTGTGTTTAAATATAAAATTAATAAAAGTTGAATAAAAGGATAAAAGAGAAAGTATAAAATTGAGTAAAAGAAAGAAAGAATGTGTCTGTTAATAATTTTATATATAATGATACCACCAAATCTCGTGGATAATAACGATGGTCTTATAATAAGTCGAAAATTTTGCTCATAATTTAAGAGCAGCCATGGCTAAAGAGCTTGTTTCTCTCCAATTTCTCCGATCACCACTTCAAAACTCTCGCCATTTGCTTACCCTTTCACCTCCTTCAACTCTCAGTCTTCGCCGCCCTAAACCACCGCAAAACCCAATCTTTCTCCGCCGACGATCAACCACCGACCCTCACCGCAACAAAACTTCCCACGACGACGAAGGAATCCCCCCCGATGAAGTCAAAACAATCGCCAAATTCAAATCCCGACACAATTACATCAGAGTAATCGAAGTTTCCCGGAAAACCAATCATCCACTCGCCGGTTCTCGTCTCCTCCTCCTCGACAATCCCGGTAACATTCACAGCATCTCCTTCCTTCTTAAAACCCTAACCGGTAGTTACTTCGACGTTTTCGCTACTCTGCCTCCGATTATACCACCAGGACCCATCGCCGTTCTCGGATTCGGAGCTGGGTCAACAGCCCGGTTGATTCTCGAGCTTTACCCTCCCGAAATCGCAATCCATGGATGGGAAATCGACCCTTGTGTAATCGACGTCGGTAGAGAATACTTTGGTCTCTCTAAGCTCGAAAGAGATCATAAAGATAGGATTTTTATCAACATTGGAGACGCATTGAACGCTAGTGTTAAAACCGGGTTTTCGGGTATTTTAGTCGATTTGTTTAGTGAAGGGAGTGTAATCAAAGAGCTACAAGATCCAAAAGTGTGGAAGAGTTTGAAATGTAGGTTGAGGAATAGAGGGAGGATTATGGTGAATGTTGGAGGAAGATGTGTGGAATCCGAGGATTCAGAGAGAGATGGAGATTTGGTTATGGAGGAAACGTTGAAAGCGATGAGCCGCGTTTTCGGAGATAAGCTCTTTGTTTTAACGCTTGGGAATGGGAATGATAGCTCGGTGGCTCTCACGGGTGATTTACCGGATCTTGATGCGTGGAAGAAGAGACTACCGGTTCGCGAATTGAGTAGCTATGTCGATATGTGGAAACCATATACAGAATTTAGCTTGAGCTAATTAGCCCTTATGATATTGATTGATGATCAGTTTAGGTTTTGTGTGGATGCTTTCAATGTCTTTGCTCTCTCATTTTGGATCATGCCAAGGTATAGAATTTGATTGGATACACGACAAAACTTGTTCTGTTTCAGAGAGAGAGAGAGTTATAATGTACAAATAATTGGCTTAACCATTGTACCTTTATTGCTGAATCTCAAGGCTTTCTGCTTCTTTCATGGCTTCATTGTAGAGATTACTCATTACTTCTATGTATGATTTCTGATATTTTGAAGCTAAAATTGACAAACATCTTCGTAAAGCTCTGTATAATCCAAGTCGAAAATGTTAGTTTTACATAAAAATTGCAAACGCAAAGGCAAAAATAAAATAAAAATTGTTTGTATCTACAAAAATTTGTTTAAGATTATAGATTCATTTGAATTATATACATGTTAAATGAACACAAACAAAACAATCAAGATTTCAAAGTTCATTTATCATCTCAAACTATATATTCTACTTGAAGAGATACATCTTAAGTGCAAGTTATTGATCTGATCCTGGTAATCAAGATTCAATATTACATTTGTAAGATATAGCCTGAGTAGTCCCTACATCACCATACATCACCATTGATCAGTGCTACTAAATTTTATAGAGATATTAAATCAGACGCATGCTTCTTGCACACCCTAGGCTTTTGCCCATAGGATACAAATTCCAATTAGTTGCAAAGTATGATTAGAGTTTATAAACACCGTAGGTTTGTTTTCTAATCATCTTTTTTCTCACCGTTTAAAAAATCATATAGGAGTTAGAATATAGACTTAAGGCATGGAATAAATAACTTAAATCTCTACATTCCAAAGCCTATTTGATCTACAACTTTCATAATACTTTTTTTTTTGTAACTTTTATTATACTTGATATAGGCAAGGCAACTCTTGGAATTACATTTACACTGTTTTCTAGTCACTAGGTTTCTTTTGTTATTAACTTGTATATGCATATGAAAATGCATCTAGCTTAAATATATATACATACACATACAATCACAGATAATTTTTATACAACAATTCATCGTGATTCTGTCGTTGAATAAATCTTATTTAAAATATACATATAATACGTTATCTTTTTTTTTTTTTTTAACACATTGTTTTTCATTAACTTAAGTGACGATCTTACTCGTTGGGTTTTGTCTAGCAATGCATTTTTACAACAAACCAAAAAATGACGGATTTTTTTAAT